ATTCTAACAGGCCATGTGTGACAAGATCCATAGTACATGCCCCTAAAATGGCAATGGAAAGGCATAGGCTCAACAAGCCCATGACATCACTGTATTTTCCTCTATTTTCTAATCCATATCAATGTAAAATATTTACTACTACTATGAAACCTGAATTTTACAGCAGAATACATGTCTTTTTGTCCAGGGAAAGGCTTGCAATAATTTTATAGGACCTCCCCCCACCCCATTTGGGTGGAGGCAAGTGAGTGTGCGTAAAATGTTTTTCAAGGATTAGAGTCAAAACTTGTTTAAATGAAATAAAAAACAATTTAAATCCCATCTCCCATCAGATATATTGACTGATCGCTTACAAATTTTTATTGATTTACTTTGCAAAGACATTCCACTTTCCAGCAGCGTTAATTTATAATTTACTGACCTTTGATGCTGTCAAAGTATATCCAGGTCCTGACAAGGGGTGTGCTGTCATTGGTGCAGCGTGTAAATATGTGGAGCTGTTTCCAGAGGATATTTCTGAAGAACAGAGAAAAAAATGTCAGAGCATCCCAGGCCAAAATTTCCATGCCATTTCAAACATCCTGACTGATTTAAAAATGACAGTGCTATGAAACTATTAAACCCAGAGATTGTGTCCAGTTGGACATACCAAGGATTTTAACACAACTTTGTAGAGGCCACTGGTCACATTGAATGGGTGGCTTTTTTAAGTATTAGGATAATTAGAAAAAGTATTAGGAGTAAGTATTAATTATATATTATATATATATATATATATATATATATATATATATATATATATATTTTTTTTTTTTTTTTTTAATGACCCTTGGTGCAATATGAAAAATATAGTATGGGCTAGCTTTTATTGTGAGAAGACTCCAGAATATCCACTAGAAATAATTAATTTGTTCAGAATACTAACAAATCTGTCAAATGTTACTTAATCTGAGCTCAGATATTTTTCAGTCTTGTAATCTGAAATAAATAACAAATAGTTTATATTGTCTCTGATAAATGCCAAAGGAAAAAAAAGACAGTTTTTACTGTTTGAACACATGAAATACTGAAACATGGAAAAACTGTTAAAAAGTAGTAAACTATGTTTGCAGAAATTATTAATTAATTATGAGTGCTCAACAACGAATGCATCAAAGTAGTGGCACCGTGTAACTGTATGATCAGATCTAGTCTGCACTATAGGAAAAATGACAGCTCTTCAATTCTAAAAATAACAAGGCGTCCCCTCGATACAACGTTTTCAATTGCGAAACACACTTGAAGGGATAGTCTGCGATTTACCTTGATTGGTGGCAGAAGAATAAGCCATGGAGCTACTTAACGCGGGGTTCAGACATCCTTCAGCAGACGCTGGGAAGTGAGTGGATCCAGCCGCCGGGCTAAAACGAGAGACAAGGCGAGCTTTAGAGTCCAAGTCAAAGCACACCCTGTTTATATCCTGTGACAGCTCAGATTCCGGCTGTTAAGTCTGTAGATGGAGCATACGTATAAAATAAAACAGCAGTGTCCTGAGTATCGGTATTTATTCTACACATAAAACTGCCACGTACAACTTCTTTAGCAAGCAGTTATAGCGAGAAATAGCTGATATCTACAACAGCAAGAAAGCACAAGGTAAGACCTGCACGTAATGGACTTCCAAATAGGACTAGATCAAGACAAATTCGCAGTCTAAACAATGGAAACCTGTCCACGGTGGATTATCACACCCTGAAGTTCTTCACAATCAAAGCGGCGAGGCAGTTTGAAGCCGTTGATTCTCGCTGCACCGGTCAGCCGTTATGATCAGTTGACCAAGCAGAAAGGATTTTTGACTTGGACAGCTGTTGGACGCAGGATGTTGGATTCAGCCCCGGGCTGGGGTGTAATTGATTTCGCTGTTGCTTTAACTCACCCCTCGGCGTAGAGCGCGCGGTTCTGCAAGTGGAGTTTCCCCTTCACATGCTGATCCCAGTCCTGCAAAAGGACACAGACAGCTCTGGGTCTCAGAGAAGATAACCTGGTCGACTCAGTCCCGGACAGCTTCCCCTGTGCATGCCGTACTGTCCTGACCACTGCATAGTTAAAGAGACAACGGCTCCACACACATTCTAAAGGAGTGAATCTGGTTCATGTCAGACCGTGACAATATCGTTATCGTGCAAAGACCAGACATGGTTTTCGAAGGTTTCCCAACAATCACCGCCAGAAAAGTAGTGCACAAGTCAGGGAGTGTTGTATTTCAAGTAAACCTTCAACTAAGACTACAATTTAATTAGAACTATAAGTGAATTTATAATGACCTTCAAGTATGAGTTCCTATAAATTAGGATTATATAACCCGTCTGAGGAAACCAAAAATGAAAAAAGCACAACAAACACAGTTGAGCAGATGAAGGTCATCAAAAAAGAGCTCCATATTTTTTTTTAGAAAATCTTGATTTTTAATAATTTTAATACTTGACATCCATGAAACCAATATCCAACCAACTTTTTAAAAAGTATTAAAAGCACAGCTTTTCAACCAACTTACAATGCCACAAATACTGAAATGCATAAATTAATAAATATATCTGTAACATTTCCTGCTATCTCTTAGTGCAAAAGGTACAAAAGGACAGTGAAGGAAGTGTGTTGCAGGAGGTGACCTAATGCTTCCCTAATAGTGATCCAGGAAGCAGAAGCAAACCCACCTTGAGGTTGTACACCTTCTTCTCACAGATGGAGCACTGGTGTGGCAGGTGTGACGGGGTCACAGCATGGAAGTCATTAAGCTGGTGGGGCTGCAGGGTCAACGGGCCCCCCGAAAGGGCCTCGTCCCCTGGCTGGACCTGCTGATAACCCTCAAACCCCCGGACTCCAGTGCTGTAGGCCGACCCCCCGGCGGGGTTAAATTTGGGATCTGCAGTGGGTTCCTCCGGGTTATACAGCTCACCCCTTGCGTGGAACGGCGGCTGGTGCACTGTCGCCCATGCGCCGCCTGCGCTGGAGGGGACGTCCAGCTGCCCCGTGTGGGGGAACCCAGCAGGGTTTTGCCACTGCTGCGCCTTGTGGGTGCCCGGAGGAGGGAAGGCACTGAGGTTCTGACCCTGGCCGTCCGCCCCAAAGTAGTCTCTCTGGAACCCACCCTGGCTCCCAGCCTCCTCCTGGGCGCCGACAGGCACGTACAGCCCCTCGCCACTTTTGGGCGCCCCGCTTGCAAAGCCGAACTGCATGCGCCTGTCCGTGTCAGAGGAGAACGTCGCGCCGCCCCCCACGCCCGCCTTCTTCCTGTACTCTGGGGCAGGCTGGCTGGGTGGCTGAGGGGCCCCACCTCCATAACAGTTCAGCCTCACGCCACCGGGGTTCAGGTTCTGGGGAGCCCCCCCGCAGCCGAACCCACCCCGACCAAAGTCCCGAGGGCGGGGGCCTGCGCAGGGAAGGCCAGAGGCCTTGGGGGGAACCCCGGCCCCAGCTGGGCCCTGCCCGCGTGGCCGTGAGGCGTGGTGACCATGCTGGAGGTCCTCAGCTGGTTGAAGAAGGGCTGGGACATGGCTACATTGGACAGCACCTGGTTCAGAACGGTGGCGGCCGCCGCGGTGTTGGTGCCGACGGCCGTCTGGGCCAGCTTCAGCCTGTGGAGTGTGAGCTGGGCCTGAAGCTGGGCGAGCTGGAGGCTGGCTGGGGTCAGGAGCAGGGGGTTCGGTGCACCCCCGCCCAGCTGCTGGCCGCCGATGGGGAGGGGCTTCTTTTCAGGGTGATCCGATGAACCAGAACTGTGAACAAAAAAATGCCAACCTGTAAAGATTCCTCAAATGCACTAAAAATACATATCTGGAATTTGCACGCCACAACCAGGTGTGATAAGATCTAGCTTCCCGCCCTTGGCAGCTGAGCAGACACGTCCCCCTTTCCACCACCCCAACCACCACAGCTACCCCAACCCCTACCCCCCTCCCCTCTACCCTCTACAAGCTATGACCCCGTTTAACTGGGTTGTCCTTTCAGATATCTGATGGATGCGCTCACATGGGGGGCTAAATTTAGTGTCCTCCACTATTAATCAAACCATCTATGAGAGCCTGACATCACTCACCCCCGCCAATCCCTGTGCCCTCTCCGCACAGAGGAAGCTGCAAAGCCAATTAGATTAGAAGTGGCAGCAGCCCAAGAGAAAGTTGTTTTAGCCGCGGAAGGGCACGGTCTTGATGTTCCCCGCGCACAGAGGGGACTCGTGCGTGAGACTTTCACTAAACGCTGCTTTGTAGAGCTCAGTCAGGGTGAGCAGAAGTCCAAGGAGTTATTAATACGCAGCAGGCTAACATTAATTGATGTGCATTTCCTCAGAACACAGAACAATCTGTGCCATTTAACAAACACGGATTGGTGCAACCGAATCTTTTGACAGGATTAGCACCTCCGAGTCTGTCTGCTCCTTGCTCCTCCAGCTATGCTATGGTCTTACAGGAACATTTCCAACTCATAAAGTCAACACATAAAATGCAGAATGTAAATTAGTGTCAAAATAAAAAATGATTTATGAAGTTATGAAATACATAGCCTCTTTTTTGTTCAATAAGTACCTCTCTAACCGGTAACATACACAAAGAAACCATAGTAACAGCAAAATATAAACCTGGAGAAGCTGGTTGACACTTTCACAAAAAAACATGAACAGAAAGAGGAAATATTCGAAAAACAGTAATTTATTTTCAAAACCCAACAAACAACAGGAACCAGTCTGAGCACACAGCCAAACCAACTCTCCTCTTGCTTTGCAGCCACATACCTGTATTTAACAGGTGTTAACTAGCAGGTGAGGCAAATCAATGGCTGGCATACACAGACAAAGAAAATTACACTTAAGTGACCTGTTCAGATGACATTATATTATTGGCATTTATCAGACACTCTTATCCAGAGCAACTTACATGGGTTACAATTTTCTTACCCATTTATACAGCTGGGTATGTACTGAGGCAATTGTGGGTTAAGTACCTTGCCCAAGGGTACAGCAGCAGTGTCCCAGCAGGGAATCGAACCGCAGCCTTTCAGTTATGAGCCCGGGGCCTTACCACTATGCCACACTGCCACCAAACCAGGGCTGCCAACTCTCACGCACTGAGCGTGAGACTCACGCAGTTGACTCAGATCTCACGCTCTCACGCCACACATGCCTTTTCTCACGCTAACTTTTCGTCTTCGCTTCCTCTGATGTAAAATTTGTGATTTTTAAGCAAAGGAACAGCAGTGCCTGCAACAGCAAATCGTTGCAATGCGCGTTCCGGTGGAGCAGCCAATCACAATGATTTTGTGGTCGAGCAACTAACTGCTGAGCATGAGTGGAGCAAGGCTGGAGGATCAAATACAAGAAGGGAAGTGCAATGGTCATGTCTAATTTTATGAATTTGTCCGGTGTTACTCAGGATCTGTCGGTGTAAAGTTGTAGAGCTGGCCTACGTAGAGCAAGGTTAGCAAGCACTTATTTACATCTTTTATGCTTAAAAACATGATAAACATTCGGTACCAGACAAACACCTGGACATGCCAAGTAGTTAACGTTAGCTGCTAATTGTTGTTCTCTAAAGAAGACCACGGCTGTCAACGACAGCTCAGCTCAAATGATCTTATTTATATATAATATATTCATTTTCATGCTTCAAGTGGGAGCCATCCCAATAAAGGCTGCAAAATCAGCCACCAGCACTTTCAGCAGAGTAGGGATGAAACGGTTACCGGTTTCACGGTAAACCGCGGTATAATTCCCGACGGTTATTATTACCGTTTCAAATTTTAATTATCATTAAAACCGCGGTTGATTACCGCGCTTTGAAAAACTCATGTTAAATAGGGTGACAAGATTCATGGTAAACCGCAAGGGTTAGTATTACCTAGAGATGAAACGGTATGAAAATTTAATATCACGATTATAGTGACCAAAATTATCACGGTTATCAGTATTATCGCGGTATTGTTAAAATGTGCTGAAAATGTTCAAAAAGTACTGATACACAAACTGAAATCATTTCACTAAGTTTTATATTGGAAACCACAAATAAAATTAGCAGCACTATGCACTTTTTATTTGCATAAACCTTAAAATAATAACAGCCAATGAATTGTACAATAGTCTACTATGCCTTTTATAGATGACATTACTTTCTCAGGCTACAAAAACACTCTAAAATGAAGTGCAGATACGTGTTTTTAAATGCAAAACTTAAGGTACCTGGTCCAACATTCCCATGCACGGCTCCAGTTGCTTCAATGAGCTTGTAAGGAAGACGTGAATTTCCCAATGAGGACGGTAAGGATGCGTTATCAGAAATCATGCACAAAGGGAAGAGTCGAGTCTGCTTGTGCATGTTGTTTTCTAAAAGTCTTGGTATAATATAGGCTAATTTGTAGGTCATTTCAAAATATGATAATGCTTAAGAGGGCAAATTAAATAGAACAGTTCAGCTATTTACTGAACTTCAGACAAATACAAAAAATACTGTCACATCGTAGTTACGCTGGAAAATTCATACAGAAGGAGGAAATAAACTGGTCTAAACAGTGTTCTGTTTCAAGAATATGCAAATAGAAACGTACATGGAATTCATTCTTAATAGCAAATTAGTCTTCTTAGAAGGCTGAAAAATCTCCGGAGCGCTGTCACTGCCTTCCGCCATGTTTTCACTGACACAAAACAAACCCACGTTGCATGCTGGGCCTGCGCGTCTCCGTCTGGGAGGCTTGCTAACTTTGGTTGATGCTGAACAGTATTTAACGTGAGTTTTTCAAAGCGCGGTAATCAACAGCGGTTTTAATGATAATTCAGATTTGAAACGGTAATGCTAGGGATGAAACGGTTACTGGTTTCACGGTAATCCGCGGTAAAATTCCCGATGGTTAGTATTACCGTGCCCATTGGCTATGTTATTATTTTAATGTTTATGCAAATAAAAAGTGCATAGTGCTGCTAATTTTATTTGTGGTTTTCAGTATAAAACTTGGTGAAATGGTTTCAGTTTGTGTATCAGTACTTTTTGAACATTTTCAGCACATTTTAACAATACCGCGATAATACTGATAACCGTGATAATTTTGGTCACTTTAATCGTGATATTAAATTTTCATACCGTTTCATCTCTACAACAGAGCACATGAAAATTTGTGAACCTGTTTCTGTTAAACTTTCTGGTTGTGGGTTTTAGGGTTTTAGTGGGTTTTACGACAGTCAACCTCAAAAAGAAATGTGAATTGGACTTTCCATGTTGTCAATACATTTAAGGAAATACTGTTCAGTTGCCAAATGTTTTGACATTCTCAATAAATGTAAGGGAACACTGTACACTTCTTGTGATGCAAGGTTTTTTATGGCTAAGCACATCACTGTATAACAAAAATAAGTACTACTAAAATTACAATAACCGCATCACCGCCATACCGCGGTATTAGGAGGTGTACCGCGGTGTTGAGCCCGTCACCGCCATTACCGTCATAACAGTTTTTTTCCCTTATCTGAGAGTGCTGCCATCCTCATGTAGCTTTTGGCTTGGTCTGTGCCCTTGTCTACACGTATCCGGATATTTTCGAAAACTCACTTTTTTCCATCAGTTTTGAAAAGGATCACGTCCACAGTACACGCGTTTTTTTCAAATCTCTCCACACCATTCTAAAACGCCCAGACCTCAGCACTGAGCATACGCATAACATTTAGCGAGGGCATCACGTCATTGTAACCTTCTGGTCGACTGACCAATCAAATTAATCGAGAGGACTTGCACTGAGGAGAAGTCTGGTGTTGAAAACTAGTGAGCAACTGCAACTGTCAACAAATAATGTTATGGAGGAAAACATTCAATGTATGATAACCCCTGTCTATACCCATGTTTATTAATTATAATGCTTAACAAAACTCACGTAAAATGCTTTTAACCCTTTCGCGCCTATGGTCACACTGGTGTGATTAGCTGCTTAGCGCATATGCTAACACCGGTGCTATTGGAACACGAGATTGGAAAAAACAGCGATTTAACATTACAAAATATAGCAAATGCGGCGGTGAAAACTGTGAGAAGCTTAATAACGCAAATTGCTTTGCCCTCTGATTTAAGTCAGTAAAAGAAGGTAATGCGCATTGCTTGTGGTAATTGATCTTAATTCATGCTGAAATATACTATCTGCATTGAACTCATGATTTCCTTTTATTTTGATACGTTCCAAGAGATAGGTTGCTGCGTACTGTGGGATAGGGAACCCCGGTAGTAAACAAGCCGCGCAAGCACAGACAACCGCATGATGAAAGTTTTTCCCGTGTCTTACACTTTTCTCACGCCTTCGAAAGCAATGGCTGTGTGTTTTTTGGTTGTTTTATACCTTAGTTAACATGTATAAGTGACCTAGATTTACTTTCTATGCACAGTGTTAGTTCGTTGATGTGCAAATTGACATTAACAGTAATCCATTCTGGTGTTGCAGTGATGCTAATTTACAATAACGTTACATGCTAATGTATGGCCATGTTAGCATATCATTTACTTGTAATTCTGTTGATGGCTAATTAGCACTTATTGGCCAGCTGTGTTGTAATCATACAGTAACTTTGCTACGCTAGCTAAGAGACATTCTAAGTCTATACAGCATAAAATAAATTACGTGCGAAAGGTGTTAACGTGTAGGAATAACTATTTCTTCAGTTTTAAGTTATTCAACCAAATATTTAGCATTTTATATGGTGTTTGAAATGCACGCCATGAATAAACTAGCACAATTAGCCTAGGCCATGGCCTAGAACTCAATCGATGGATTTTTGTCTTTTGAAAGCGATAAAACAGCGGAAACAATGTTTGCCATGTTAAGGGACAAGTAGCGTCAAATGAACGAATAATTAAACACAGGGGGGTTTGGTTGCGGTACTACCGCAAACCGCAAGGTGGCATTTTTCGAATACCGCGGTAAGGAAATTTCTGTACCGGTGCAGCCCTAATTCTTGCATTCATTCAGTTGATGAGGTCGTGCTACAAGCATGATTCCTGTCACCACTAGGCTCTCCACTGACCCTTCAAACACTTCATGGATGGTCACTTTTAAAGCAAAAAAAATGTTTTAAACATATCCTCTAAATGTAAGCAGAAGAAAAAAAATACAGGACATTATACGGCCAGGTAGAAGTCAAAAGACCGTGCGCTCATATACAAAATCCATTACACCTCTAGTCTAACTCTAGCAATATCAAAGCAAGGCTGTATGAATCATTAAAACATGTTTTCAAACTAATATGGTAATATGATGCCAGGGAGACCACAGGCCATCCACACCATAATTTTTAAAAATTTCCCCAAAAGGTGTTATAGTAGATGTTAACTGTCAGATTTAAAAAAAAAAAAAAACAGTCTTTAAATGATGAATGAGCAACATGTGGGGTGGAGGTACAGTGATTCTTACAAGCAGCCATCTTTACATTAGGAGAACATGCCAAAAAGCCCAAGGGACTTTTAAAAACAGCGCTTTCTCCTCGCCCGCTGTTTCTGACACCAGCAGCTGCGTTTTTACAGTCACTGCTGGTAACGCCGACTGACAGACAGTGAGTTTTTGAAAGTCCGGTTTTATAGCTTACAAGCTGTGGAACAACTGAACAAATATCTTCTAATTCCCCAAAGATAAGAGAACAAATATCACTGTAAAACTTAGATCTTGTCTACACAAATGCTGTCATTGCTTCCAAACTGGTCAAAAATTTGAAGGAGACATTACATTATTGTCATTTAACAGATGCACTTTCCAAGAGGAACTTACAAAGGTTACAATTTTTTATACATTTACACAGCTGGATATTTATTGAGGCAATTCTGGGTTAAGTACCTTGCCCAAGGGTACAGCAGCAGCACCCCAGTGGGGAATTGAACTGGCAACCTATCAGTTACAAGCCCTGCTCTTTAGCACTATGCTACGGTGGCACCCCAAAGACAAAAAGGCATGTATGAAAACATAAAGAATGATCACGCCAAAGTGGCACAGATTGATAGCTATTTCTAACTACCGTGCTGGGTGTTAACATGATTAGCACTGTGTTGTCTCTTCAGCAATGGGAGTATGAGTCTTCGT